TTCTCATATTCTCCTAATTGACCTCCCGTAGTGGAAGTGTACTGGAGGCCAATTAGGATAATATTTAAAGAACTACACGTAATGCTTACTGTAGAACTAGTAGTGGAAGTGTACTAAACTAGTAGTGGAAGTGTACTGGAGGCCAATTAGGATAATATTTAAAGAACTACACGTAATGCTTACTGTAGAACTACTGCGCTACTCTCCTAATACAAGTTCAGCAGTAGGCGTCCCAACAACATCTCGATACCAGAGTTCATTTATTACAGCTGTGTAGCAACGACCAGGCCATCCCAAAAAGGGGTAGGCTTATTTTTCGTTGTTAGGGGTTAATGATAATGTTCAGAATTTTCCGAATCTGGTCTAATTCAGTGACGAATCAAATGGTAGACTAGAATTTGGAAGTTTTGTTGTTCTTTTTTTTTATCGAAGAAATTTACAATTTTGATAACGAAAAATTTAAATAACCAGATTTCCGGTTTTAACACAATTGATAACTGTTTTTATTATTTTCAAGCCCCTTGCCCAAAATACACTTTATATGATTTTTGTTTGTTTGTAATTAAGCACAAGGCTACACACAATGGGCTATCTGTGCTCTGCCCAACACGGGTATCGAAACCCGGATTCTAGCGTTGTAAGTCCGCAGACATACCGCTGTGCCACTGGAGGGCTCTCTATATGATACTTGAATCTTAGAATTATCATAAACAATAATATTATGAAGTTCATGAATATATAACGGTCGTTCTACTACGCAACACAAAAGTTCGTTTTTACTTAACCATACAAGTCACGATATAAGTACAGATTAGCCGAGAGGCAGATAAAATTCAGTTACACATATTAAATCCCCCCTTCTATTTGTTTCGAAAGTCCACCTCTTCTGAGTTTGATAAAAATCGATGATGGATGAAATATCATTCAATTAACTATATAAGTTGATATGCGTTTTTTATTTATTTATTTTTTTGTTGCCATCCTAGAAACGGCAAAAGACGAGATGACTAAGTTATCTTTCACACATAACTTCTTCTTCAAGTTCTACTATCCCTGATGCTCGTGTGGTTTCTTTTATTTACTTTACCGTTCAATACTTCATTGATCAGAAGAAATTTAAAAACATAAAATTTCTTTCAAATTGGATTTTTATCTAGTTCTGTACATTTACTTTCAAAATTGGCATTATCCTCCAAAATAAAGAGTATTATTGTAAACGTTATCCCACAGCCTTCTAGAATATCCAATTTACATGACAAATAGACACACGCTCGGGTGGAAGGCATTAGAATATAATAAGGTCTATTGACTTTTCATAAAAGAGAAAACTGCTGGTGACACGCTAGAATAAAATGCCTGTCCCCCTCATAAACAGATTCGACGACAAAAAAAAAAAACACGTTAAATTTAAAGTTTTCCCCTTCCATAAACAGATACAACGAAAAATTGATAAGTGTTAGTAAGACGTTAGAATACAACATTTATCCTGGCAGAAATAGATTTGGAGAAAAAAAAAGAGAACTGGTTGTGACGCATAGTACTTAAAACAAGGGCAATACAGAGTGAGGGGTGATCTTTTTTTTTCCCCAGAAAAATATGAATCTTCTCCTCTATACAAAGAACGCAAGTGCCTTACCTTCGACTACATTGAACTTGGAAACCTATACTGGATGTACTTCCGCAGGGTCCCCTAAAGTGTTCTGTTTCAAGAGTGTATAAAAAAAAAGCAAAATTAAGTGAAACCATTATTTTTTTTATTTCTTGCTTCTGAAGTTCATGTGTCATGCTGTGTTGTAGCCTACATAATGCATAATTGTTCTCGTGATTCATGGCATACGCACGTTTTACTGACGTTATGACAATACAAATTGCAACGTTAAGCGTCCCTTATGTAATGTCATTTTAACGTCTACTGACTGACTGACAAGGTTTTTGAAGTTCATGTGTCATTCTGTGTTGTAGCCTACAGAGAGGCATTAATTCTGCTCGTGATTCATGGCATACGCACGTTTTACTGACGTTACGACAATACAAATTGCAACGTTAAGCGTCCCTTATGTAATGTCATTTTAATGTCCACTGACTGACTGACAGGCAACATAATACTGTATAGTGGTGCGAAAAGATTATTTAAAATAATTAGAGGATAGTGTGGCTTCTAGACAGTTTAGAATATTGGAGTGGTCTTTTACACACACCCATCTAGGCTACGCCTCTAGTTACGGTAAGGTTGTGACAATCTGACATCATTCGTTTTCGTATTTAGTAGACTATAAGATCGCTTAACGATAATTATTAAATATTTTTATTATCAATAGATACAAACTATTAAATAGTTTCATCTTACGTTTCGGAGGGGGAGGGGATAATGCACCAGACTTCTAACAACAAGACTCGGGATCGACTCCCGGCCACTAATAAAACAGAAAACAGTTGTTTTTGTTCTCAGGTTAGAATCAGAAAAGTAGGATTAAAAACTAGTATATAATTAACATCTAGATATAATCAGTTTTGAAAACATTTTTTATTAACTATTATAGAGTGACCCGGCATGGCCAGGTGGTTCGGGCGCTCAACTCGAGTCACGGGTTCGAATCCCCGTCCCACCAAACATGCTCGCCCTTTCAGCCGTGGGG